CTTGATGAAGTTAAGAGTTACTAGTTAAATAATAATTGCTTGTCAGCACAATGTTTAGTTAGCTGGGTTTATAATGAAGAATACACAAACTGACAAAGAGCTTTTAGGACCATAAGACAATTGTGGGCCTCCTCTGTTCTGAAACCAACTGAAGACAAGGAATGGGAGTTCTACCAAGAGTTCATTTGTCATATTGGCATTGAAAAGGTAGAAAGGCCAGAACGAGGAAGACTTTATTTACTTCCTCATTTTGGGACCCCTCCCCATGGAAGGGACACCAACCCATTTCAAGGGACAAACCACAAATGCTGAATGGCTTTTGAAATGATCAGCATACGAAGCGAGGAATGGGATGTACCAAAATGATGAATATGTATTTGTATTTTGGGTATTCAATTCTTGTATGGATAAAAAGATTCTGTAATCACCTGGAAGCTGTGGTGTGGATTTGGGAGCGATCCCACACACAATAAACACACACTTTCTAACTTTAAACTGTTAGAGAGTTTTTGTCCCTCACAGTTGGATATCAATACTAGATCAATATCCATATTTTTTTAATAAATCACAGAAGTCCAGTGGCTCGTGGCTTTCTCACTCCAGAGTGAGGAGTTACCTTGTGATTGCCAGTGGAAAGGCAGCATATGTCACATGCTGAGCTGAGGAGCTGCTGGCAGGTCTGGCCAGACATCGGGCAGACTCCAGGGCTGGCTGGCACTCAGACCACATCTGCTCTTCACTGAAGGTAACAGCAGCCCCAAACTCCTCTCATGAGCATCTGGCACTGGACACGCTGGTTTGTTTTGATAGAAATTTTGTGATGTTGCTGTAGTGATCTCAAAAATGAAAAAAAAGTGGCCTCTCTGGTGTACCCAGCTAGCCTGGCATCTGACAAGAAGCCTCTGCGCTGGTTTGGCAGAAAAGTTATAAATTACTCTAATGGCTTATATATCATATAAGCCAATGCAAAACTATGATAATGTAATTAGCCCATGAGCTTGTAGTAAATACACACTTCAAAGCAACTACTGTAGCAGATTTATGCACATTTTCTGCCAATTTATTTCCAACTCTGCCTCAAACCTAACTGGGTGTAATACTTCAAGGTCGAATCTCTCATTTGGATTATGCTGGATGCAATTCATAAGCTTGCAATCAGTTGAGGTTTTGTTAAAGTGACTTTTTTTTATCCTTTTATATAAATGAAATGGGAACTCACCAACTTCAGTTCCATTTTTCAGACCAAAAAACAATAGGTAAATGTGGAAGGAAAACCTTTGTAACAGATCATAGAGTTCATGGGTAGTGCTGAGAGCTGGTCTTCAGCTACAAGCTCTACTCCTGCTTTGGGAATGCTGTGCTCCTGGCCCTGAGGAAAGGAGCAAATTTAGGGAGCTTTCATGGAAGGGCTACGCTATGTAGCTCTAGATGTTGTCAACATTTGCCATAGAAACTGGGTTGCAATGTGTTTCCTCTGATGAGTTGGCTTGAACAAAGCAGTTGGATAGTGAAAAACTCCTCATGGGGAATAACACGATGTTGGTCGTAGGGCTTCAATTAATTTAAAAAGTATACTATAAATTAAATGCTTATAGTTTTGAAGTGATGTGTAGTGCAATTCAAATGTTCAGTGCTCTAAACTTACTGAGCTTTAATTAACCACTGTATTCATTAAAAAGAAAAAAAAAAGATTAAAAAGAAAAGGAAAATGGTATTTATTTCATGGGAGAAAGTAGTTGAATGTGTTTATATTAATCATTTAATATCTGTCAACAAACTAGAACCAGATCTCAGAAGCAAAAATCACCTAATTGGCCCTTAGCATTTAGAAGCAGTTGAATGATTGGGAGGATTCTGTTATATAAATATTGTCACATAGTATCTTATCTTAATAACTAAATTATATAGTATTTATATGACAAACCATATTGAAGGCAACATGCATAAACATTTATTATTCAGAACATGAGGTGATATGAGACAGCAACTAATCCCCACCATAAGCAGTGCTTTTTGTACAGTAATACTGATAAACTGAAGCAGTCAGGCTAAATTGCCTCTACAAGCCAACTGGCACCTCTGGAGTTGTCCTGATGTACCACAGGAGAGAGTTTCTTAAATGATTTCATTACTTCTAAATTAATTTTGCACCACATTTTGTATTCTATTATGCTCAGAATTATGCAAAGACAGTGTTTACTATTTCATATGAGGTTACCTTTCAAAACTAATGATAAAATTTATGTTGGAGGGCCAATACATATTATAGCTTTCTCCTAAAAATCTTGCTACAATTTCTTTGCAGGATGCTGTAAAATCAATAAAACACCATTAGCATAATGCAACAATTTTCTGTGCATTCTTCCTGTGGCTGGTTGTCTCACTTTCCTGTTAAGAGTGTATCCTCCTCCTCCTCTGCTTCACTGCTGCTGTGACCACATTTTTCTGTGCTCTAATATGGGCAAGATGAAATGTACATTTCATTGTACAAAGTACAAAAGTACAAATCTTCCTCTGTCATCTGTAATGGAGCCTAAATAATTTGTCTGGGTTATGTCATCATCTTGGCTAACTCCAAGGTAACTTGAGTATATATAGGAGAAGCTCATCTAGCATTTGATATGATAATCTCAGGGTTTTCTCACACCTGCCAGAGAGTTTTAGTCAAGATACTAAGGTTGCCTTCAGTACTGAATTTTTTTTTTCTTTTACATCATTCTTTGTTTTGTTTCCTTTCTTTCTCTTCTATATGCAGATGCAGATTCTCATCTATAAAAATACAAGCCCCTTACAGAAAACTTATTTTCCTTCAATATTTGGGGAGGTTGGGCAGAGACACTGACATCAATCAGATCAGTTCTGGGTTAAGGTGCCATGATGGAAGGATTCTCATGAGCTCAGCTGATCATAAGAGACTGTGTCATAAAAGCAACAGAAATATTAGAAGTGCTAAAATGAGAGGGGTGGACATAGCTGCATGTTTCACTTCTCTGCTGCTGGACAGTTTGTGCCAATGTCAGTGCAGAGCTTCAACAGTTCTGGATTTTCTACTGCAGCTAACGCTAGAAGATGCAGTAAAATGAGAAAATTTGAAGCATGCTGCTGCTGCTTTCAAAATAAAGATTTTACTAAAAATGCATCATAAATGTAGAATCCCACGATATTCCTGAATTCCACAATTCCTGAAAAAATAATCTATAGCATTTCCTTCTCAAGTCATTGTAAACCAAAAGCATTCTCTAATGAAGAAAACCAGGCCAGATGCAATGCTGTTGCAATATGCAGGAAATTCAGTGAGGTATCTTTATCCCTTTTTCACTCAGTCAGTACTGCCTGAATCCAAAAGAAATGTCTTGAAATGAATGTTTGCCATTGCCTCCCAAACCCCACCGGACCCTTGATATGCAGTTTGTAACTTTCTAGAGCAGAAGGGATAAAATCAAAACTGAAGAGAGTCGTGAATCTTAATTGAATTTTTTTAATAGCATAATTTTCAACAGTGATTATTCCATGCTTTCAAATTAATTTTAATATAGCCGAGTTTATGCTTCTACTTTAACCCTCTTTATATTTTGAGTGTATTTGTGATTTGACAGAGATATGGGCATGGGGTGTTGGATTTTTTTTCCCTATTAGCTTTTTAATTGTTTGATTTCTGCACCAATCAATAAATGTGTCAAAGTTAGTATTATGCTAATATAGAACTGTTGCTTTGGGGTTTTTTAATCTGGGTTATTATAATAATAAGGAAAATGTTAACCCATTGCTATTGGAGGAGGAGAAAAGATAAAACAAAAAGGTTTCAAAGGAATATGAAATATTTTTCCAGCTGATTGAATTTTGAGTATTGTTTAACTGAGTTATAGTCATTGTATCTTTCAGACAAGAGTCTGATATGGAGCATTGCTGAGAGAATGAACTCCTAGTGCAACTGCCACGGAGAGTTGACAACTTCTTTCCAATCTTTCTAACAGCATCTTTAGTAGTAGTGTTATATACTTATTTCTGAATATATACCATATATTTCAAAAGTATTACCTTCTTGAAACATTTTCCTATCAGCAGGCAATACAGGGACAGAGAGCAGCATTCCTGTGATGGGTCTGGCTGCATTTCAACAGGTCTGTATCCTTTGACATATGAGTATATGAAATAATTTTTAAAAAGTGCATATTTAAGGAAAGATTCAGCAGATCATAAACCAAATAAAATGGCATGGAGGGTTGGAATGAGATTATGTTTAAGGTCTCTTCCAAGGCAAGCCATTCATTCAATGATTCTGTGATATATTCTGTCAGGCCACCAGCCACCTTCCCGGGAACCTACCAGCTCTCACCCTCCCCTCCCTCCCCCTCCCCTCTCCTCCATTTGTGTTTCTCATCACATTTTCATCTGTGTCTTTTTCCTCCTAATTTGGATCATTTCACCTCCTTGTTTTAAGCTGCAGCTATAATCAAATCAGAAACTTACTTCTGTGTTTTTTCTCTCCAATGTACTTTCATTAAAACCACAGCACATGGAGCTCGCTCTGGGACAGAATAAGAAAGGATCTGTAAAGTGTCCTTATTTCAAGGTTTGTTTTACCTTGGGAAATGCATTTTGTCTCATCTGTTGCTCTATAACCACCTCAAGATTCAGAGTTTTCCCCATTGTCTTCTAGCTTCTCCAAACATTGCTGCTGTCTCAGTCTTAGCAGATCTTCACAGAAATGAAAGTTATTCCCCACATGTCATTAATTGTAGATATTCTAAACCTTGGTCTATTGTAATAGACCTGAGCACTTTCACCTGTTTTCCTGTTTATTGCAGCTTAATTATTACATTGTTTAAAATCAGGCAATTATCACACAATTTCATTTCATTTTTTAGATATTGGGAAAGCTTGCAACAAAATTAAGCTAAAATTAGATTTTAGTAACTCAATTTTGCTTCTAGTCATTTGGGAGGCTTCTTTTCTTTTCTTTTTTTTTTTTTTTTTTTAATTCATTAAGAATTAAATTATGCTTATTTGTTCACAACATCCCTCTGGCCTTTAATATCTTGAAATATATTAATTGTACCCTCACCTCCAGAGAATGAGCCCTTGTTTTATGTGAGTTTCTCCTGCTATTCTCCCTGGATAGATAATGATCACTTTTTTCTGCCCATTTTTCTCTCAGTACCAGTCAAGGACGCTGAATTGCGTTTTTGGAGAAGGGACTTGTGCTAAATTACTATCTCAGAAACAGAATGTGCACAGCAGAAACTGACAAATCATGGATGGATTTGGATGAAAGAGGCATTCAAGCTTTGGCTCAACAGTTTTCCTTTTAATGAAAACAGTTCTCAGATATTTAAAACCAGTATGTCAAAGGCTTTTGGCCTATGCTTCAGTTTATTAGCTATTTAAGAAATTTGCATAAAGGTATATGGTCAGACTTTAAAACAGGTTGAGGTTAAAACAGTTTTATAGAAGTCTTTGTGATTCAATTGTTGAGTTTTGTGGGGGGGGGGGTTGTTTCTCTTTTTAAAAAACTGCACAATTTATCAGATATTGCTCAGAGATTGAGAAGGATGTTCAGGAACAAAAAATATGTGCATGCACTCCTTCCTATTTTCATAGAATTACTTTATCATCTCGTTATAGTCAGAGCTATGAAAATATCTCATTCCTCACAATAGATATTCTTGATTTTGGTTTTTTTTTTTTATTTTTTTCAGTTTTATTCTCCTGAATGCCTTGCCTTGCCCTCTATCTTCTTGTTTGCATTTTCTTTAAATCAGCTTCATTCTTCCTATGCCCTTGTGGAGAACACTCTTTTTCCTATACTAAGATATGCTTTTTAGCCTCTCAGCTCAAGCTCTCAAATGAATTTGCACAGAGGTGCTGACAGTCTTTTAATACTAACCAGTCTTGAAATGGTCATCATCCAGTCACAGGGATGCTTTAACACTTGTGTCCATCCTCACATATTCCCTGGGAAAAAATAAAAATTTCCTTTTTATCCTTTCGGAGAATGGAAAAGGGTTGTTAAACTGGCATTGCTCCTGAGACAGAGACACGAACTAGAGCTCCCTGTGCCCAATTTCTTGTGGGATTCTTAGGGCAGAAGTGCCAGTTTAGGACCAGCTTGGCATCTTGCTTCTTCTGGAGTTTGCCAGGGAGCCCATCTATCCCTAGCCCGCCCAGTTTAATGTGACACGTGCTGCTGCCAGCAGGTTTTCTCTTAAGAAACTGGCACTATATCAGCTATGAATTTGTTTCTCCAGTTGTGCTGGAAGATCAATAAATTACAGCAGAGGCAGATGAGAGTCAGTCATATCTTAGACTGGCCTGACTGTTTCTTCTGTCGTGTAATAAAACTTTGATGAGGATGAATTCCAGTTGTAAATTTACCGTGGCTTATTCAAGACAAAGAAGAAAAACAGAGCTTTTTAAAAATACATCTTTTCAAAGAGTAGGCATGTTTTAGTTTGGTAAGAACTGAAACAGATCTGGCACCTTCTCCTTAACTTCTTGCATTATTATGCCTATACTTGAAATAATTGATGGCTTGTTTACCTGTTATTCCTGACCTCCAAGGTAAACTACAAAAAGGCTACTCAGATTAAAAAGTTCTACTGCATCAGACACATTTAAAACACAAGCAAATACTTAGATACACCCAGTTTCTGATGTAGATTTTCAGACTTAACACAATTATTCAGCAAAGGAGAAGTATTACTATATACTACAGAGAGAAATTTTATAAAGAGTTTGAGTTAGCAAAGCTGGTATAATTCTCAGCATGACACTTATGTGATCAAAATTTGTTGTACAAGAAATAAAGCAGCAGCAAAAATAAATGTAGGGCTATATGCAAATGCTTTATTTTTATATATATAGTCCAACATTTTTTCCCAGGACAAACCAGCAATCTTCCACCACTAACCCCTACATCCTGCTTCTTTTCCCTAACACCTCCCCTTTCCACCACATACCCCCATCTCGCTTTTCTCCTGTATTAATTCCTGCAAGCAATTCTCCCTTTAAACTTTATTGACAAGCACTCACCAGCTCTCTCTCAGAAGGAGAAGCTGCACAGGCTGGGAGGGAGAACTGCAGGTAGTTTAAGAGCACAGCCCTGAGATATCAATTCACAGAACGAGTCATAATTGAAGTGCTGCTGGCCGATTGCTATTTGGCTTTTACAGAAGGTAAGGGTCAGTTTGATTGATGCAGGTGTGCCAGCTGGAAAAAAAAACAAACAAAAAAACCCCTTAGAAAATTAATTAATTAATTAATTATGTCTGTGAGGTTGTTTCAGAAGGTTAAACTCTAAGATTTCAAATTTTTGCTGTAGGCACAGATGGAAAGAGTGCTGTGGATGCATTGGCAGTGGCACTGGTTGCCATTGGTAACACATTGAGCCCAGTAATCAGACTGGACTACTAATGGCTGCAAGTACACTTTGCCTAACCAGTACTGGCAGGAGGCTTTCCTTACAGTGATAAATGCACAAGCTGTGACTTGCATTTCATTTCCAGCCTTGGCAAGCTAAAGGAGTCTGTTAATGAATGAAGACATCTTTAAACGTGTGGTTGTACGCCAACAGCAGTTGGTAATCCTCCATATCCAGCTTATTTCATCCCATTTACTATTCCACTTGTAATCAAGCAATAAATAAACTACTGATGCTTGGCCAGCAATACCCACATGACCTTAAAAATGTTTGAAATCTGAAAAAAGCAAAATATGCTTTTCGCTAATACTGCTTTCATTTTCAGTTCAACGTGCAGATAAACAGTGTGCTTCAAAGTCATTCTGAAAACAAACTGCAGCAAACTCAGTCAAAACTTTTATTTATTATTAAACACGATGAACCAAAAAAAAAAGCAAAAAATGTCTTTTGGAAATGGCAAATAAAACTAAAATTCAGCATGAGGTATTTCAGATACATCATATAACAGAGTATATAAAACTCAATAGCAAAATTTCTGTAAACCCCTAAGGTTTATTTATTCTGATAGTGACACTAAAGAAGCTGAATTTACAGAAATCTGGAAACCTTTGGTTGGTTGTATAATTCTCAATATTTAAAGTAAAACTGTTTCCCTTATTTTTTTTTTTTTTTTTTTCTTGTGTGTTAAGGAGAAAGCTAAGCATATTAAATAAAGATATACTAAATTTAAGTACTTACCCCTGTGAGTCACCCTGTGCTTGATACATTTTGTCTTTTCCTTCAGCATGTATAGCCCCTAAAGGCAAAAATAAAAGTATTTTCCCCTTCCTATTTTTGCCTTGAAGGAACTGGCTTTCTGCCATTCATTTAAAACTTGTCTGTTTTTTGACTAAGCAAAATAATTTAGCAATTATTACTGCTGCTTTTCATCTTACATCACAATTCAATTTCACAACCCTTCTTATGACTTCATTATTATTTCTCCCCATTTTATAATTCAATTAAATAGTGAACAGTTGAGTATTATTGTTTTTCTAGCTCTTGATGATCTTTTTCGAAACTTCTTTGAAACTACAGACTCATTGTGGTCAAATAACTGTCTTAAGAGATGCTGCAAAGTTAATCTCGCATTTACATTGCAGTCCATAGATAAATTCAAATGTTTGAAGTACCTAAAAATGTTACAGAAGACCATATGGAACATGAAGAGATCTCTTTCAACACACAGCTAATAACTAGAAATGAGAAAACTTCTCTACATCTTCAAACTTCAGCAAAAGAGAAGACTTAAATGACAAATCACCACTCAGTCCTTAAAAATCACAACTGCAGGGAACATTCAGGCTGGCAGGTTTGGTTTTTTGGAAGCATATTTTAATCTTTTTGATAAAAACACAATCTATGCTAAGAATTTAAAAAACATTTTTACCATAACAGACCACTTAGAGGTCATCTAATTCATGAACATTGTGCACAGTGTACACAACAGATAGGAGGTTGATGTATATTTTTGCAAGCTGTTTGGAGGAAATCACCAGAAGCATGGGCAATTGAGCTAAAAATAAAAGTTAGGAATATTAAACCCAAAATATAGTTTGTGCAAACCACAAATTAACTATTTTTTGGTGCAGTAAGCTCAGAAAAGATCTGTTAGCTTCTATATCTGTCTTTTTTTTTATGAGCTTCAACAAATCTGAATAGATTTCTTACCTGCTAGGTGTTTTTTCTCCTCTCTGCAGGCACATAGCAAGTATTAGTTTTTTCCCAATTCTCTTCAAGACAGAAAGAATCAGTAAAATGGTTTATTTCCCTCACTCGCCATCAAAATCTGCAAATTTTTCACAAAAGTACTTAAATATTTTCTGTAGGTTAATTGATGTATAAACTACTACTTCATCTACCAGTTTTTAATAGAATGAGGATCTTCAAAACTAATTCTGCCATGGAAAAGATTTCTTATCAATCCTCACAATGAATTTTTTTTTTTTCATTGGAAATTTTGGCTTGATAAGGCACTGTTTTTGTACCCAGCTGAAGAATAAGGCTCGCTGTTGAAGTGAGACAGTCTCATAATAATACCCCCCACTACAGGCACTGACATTAATGTTGGTTTGTTCAGGATTGTTCAGGGGACTTTTTGTAAGCATATATGAAACAGAAAGGAAATTTGAGATTTTTGTTTTCTTTTGGTTTTGTTTTTTTTTTTTTTTAATTATATCCAGATTCTTTTGTGTTTATGATATGTAGTGGATCTCTTGATTAATTGCAGTGCTGATAGATTCTGCTGCATTCAGTGACCCTTAATGTTTTGATCCAGATTTCTAGGGATACTGAAAAGATACTGATAGAGAGAGACAGAGAAGGAGAAAGACAGGGAGAGAGGGAGAACTTAGTAGGAGGTAAAATATTAACTAATTCAAACCAATAGGAATAAAAATAATCACATTTTGAAAATGTATGAGTTCAAGTTGGCTTCCAAGGAAATGTGTACACTTCTCAATTTTTTAGTGTACAACTCTGCCTGTGGCAGTATAAATACATTTTTGTTCTACAAAAGAGAAAGCTTGGAATTTGTTGCTATGTAGCTTCTGCAACTTACTGATAAAAAGCTGTCCATCAAAAGGGTTGATGACATGGACATATCATCTCACTGGTGAGCTATTAACAACACAGATTGATTGCATGAAGGGTGTAGAAAGATACCTTATCTTTAAGCTGTAGAATTTTCTGTGACTGAAAAAGAGAGGGGAATTTAAAAAAGGTTTTTGCTAGGCTTGAAATGGATTACTCACCCCAGGGTTTTTTGGGGTTTTTTTGTGGACTTGCAGTGTTGACCTCAGTTGAATCAGTTCATCTTTCTGAAACTTCATCTGAACAAAAGGAAGAGAATAATAACACCTATTTCATGTAAATTTTAGGGACTTTAAGATTTAAAATTTAGGATGTGGCCTTTATTCTAGCAGTGCCATCAGGTATTTGTGACCTTCTGGAGAGAATGTGTATTATGAAGTCAACATTCCGCAACATACATATTTCCTTTTAAGATTAACTCTTTCCCATGATCAGTAACAGCCTAGAATGTTGCTCTTAAAATGTACAGTGAGCCATGAAACCTCAACTAATCTATCAGTTAAGAATGGCTTTTCACATTGAATTATTCTATTGATTTCTCTTTCTGAAAATTTACTAGCTCCTTTAGTATATGCTGTATATGCACACTCCAAAATCAAATTTGGCAGGTTTCATCAAGCAACTATAAGTGAAACAGGCAAAGTGAAATCAACTTAATCTCCTCCATTCTTCTTTCTCACCCACATATGCCTTTGTAGTAGAAATATTCTGTAGGTGCCCTTTAAAATGCAAAAATCTTTGACAAAAGAAAAGTGTTGTATCATGGCTTAAATTTAGATTGGAAAGCAAGAAAACCTAAAAATTGTGTGGGGTATTAATTTACTAGGAAAAACAGTTTTAGTGGAAGTGAAGGAATTTTCAGTTATCTCAAAGAAATCATTAAGCATCAATTTTCAAAAATTTTTTTTCACATCATTAATAACTGCTATTACTGGGAGCTGCCAGAATGTTTTCTCAGATAAATCTTCTTTTCAGAGATCTGACTATAAATGGGACCCCAAAATCTATTTGCTAACTGAGTGATAAAAGGGTATTTAGTAGCAACACAATCACAATGTGATAATTTACCTCAAAGTGAAATAATTTTTATTTAGCAAACTGCTTGCCATTATTTCTATTTTATCTTTTGCTTGGTATATGAACACAAAAAAGAAGAAACCAGCTGAGTGTTTAAATATTTAAAAAAGCAAAGAGTTAGAATACCCAAGCTATCTATAAAGGTCTGATGATTTTTCAAAAGTGAAAAGTAATATCCAGGTTAGAACACAGGGCAAAGTTATTGAGAAACACATTGTGATTTCTATTTTCTATGAAGCTCAGCTGTGAAAGCATTTTACACCTTTTTCTAAATAACCTTTTTTTTTTTTAAATCTTAGCTGCTAAACAATTTAAAATATAGATAATTCACCCTGAAAAAAAGAAAAAAAAATAATAAACTCATATTGAAGTTAAACCTTATACCAAATCTATTTTTTAATTGCTGACAGTGTTTATGTCCAGTCAAGCAGACTTTTCTAGCAGAATTCAATCATTTCCTAAACTTCTCTTGCAGTGTATCTATCAGGAGAGGATACTGCTATCCTGGCATGTAAGGTGCTCCCTTTGCTTTATCCTGAGGCCATGGTGTATGTAGGATTTAGCTCCAGTAAAGGTTCACACATGCTTAAACCTTAGACAAGACAATGACTTTCTGTTGTGTAGCTACCAAATCAAAAGTCCATCCTTGCTTTGGCTTGGAGGTTTCATACACATCGTAGGAGAACAATTTTATTTCTTACAATAAGAAATAATTAATTATTTCTTATTTCTTAAGAAATAATTAATTTCTTAATTATAGCAGGATCCACAGAATTTCAGTGCATATGCTTCAGGAGTGCAAAAATGTGCTTCAAATATGGATCATGACAGAGGCAGGCCCCTCTCCCTAGTTAGGATTCACAGGAGCAGAAGCAAGGTGGCTTAACTTACCTGGACTATTTTTACTCAGCCACAGGCTGACCCATTTACAACTTGACAGCTTTCTAGTTAATTTAATTCCAAGCCTGTGCCCCAAGCTTGAGTGTAAGAGACCTGGGCTCACTCTCTTCTCTGCTTGAGAAGATCTGAATTCTTACCTTCCAGGAGAATATCCCATAAGATATTCATGAGGGAAGAAAATATTTTTCCCCTCCTATTTCAGCCTGAAAGCTGTTCCACTTTGCAATAACTAATTAAATATTCAGTGCACCAAAAAACCACTAAAGTTGAGAGCAATTCCTTAGCCAAGGGCTATGGGTACCTCCCTTAAGATGAAGAGGCACAAATCCAGTTCTTGCTCCACTGAAAACCTTGACATGGTAATCAAGGAAACAAGAGCTGCAATAGTTGCTCTCAAGAGAGTGAACTGCTTTACACAAAGCAAAGGAAATAGGACACATCCTCTTTCCTCAGACACGGGAGTATTTATTTTAGAGATGCACATGAAATGTTTCGTTGAGCCTCTTGACATAAAACTAAAAACTGGCAGCAGGACTCCAACAAATCAAATCCAAATCAATAAGACAACCACAGAGCAGTGCCACCATGAGCTTCCTATCAATGTATCTGAGCTGGAAAAACATGTGGGAAGAGCATATTTAGCCATTCACATAGAAGAATGGGCTTGCAGAGTAAAAATGGTTTTATAATTCAGAAAATTAATTGTTTTGCTATTTAAATAAATTACTGACGGGGTTGGAGGTTGCAAATCTTAAGGGTTATTGTTTGCTTAGAGCAAAGTAACATTAAAAATGTTTAATTCTTTTATTCTATACTATTCATAATTGAGTGGTGATAATTAACATAGAAATATGCCTTTCCTTAAAAGCCTGAAATAATAAAATTAT